CAGACTATGGTTGACAGCGAATTGATTCAAATAGAGAAAGCTGGCTGCGAGACCCGATCCCATAATCAACGAGGTCACTTAATGGTTAGATATCTCACTGATCTTTGCCTCGACTGCGTCAGTGGCCAAGCTGACGCAACTGCTCATGAGGTTAGAAAATCCTGGCTAGAGCCGTTATTTTTAAAAATTACTTTAGCGACCGTTGGAACCGCAAGTGCTCAGCCAACAATATCGCAAAATATACGATTATTGAGGAACGGAAAATAATTGTGCTGAAGGACAGAAGGCTAGCCTACTCTTACTCTGGTCAAAGACTCAAATGCAGGCTGAAAAATCCCGCAAATCACTGAGGCAGACTAAAGGTCCAAAGAGAGCTACCAATAATGTCAACCTGAGTAGAAGAGCCTGCTGGTTTTATCATACAATCTCTATGCCACGTGCCCATATGGCGTCTATATAATTAAGCATAGCCGACTTAATAATAGTTTTGTTTATCCCACGCCCCAGTCGTTAAAAGCAAATGAAACCACAATAATATCTTTGACGTCAATATAGTATGGCTAACACGGAAGTCCCGGCGTACTTTATGAATATTTGGGCTGGATTTGGTGGAAAAGACGGATGGCGTACAGCTGGGCGCCTTAAATATATCTTACTCTGCCGAAAGAGCTTTACTACGCAATACACAATAAAAATACGCATAACTTACCCACAAGTTTAGTGGCCAGTTCTTCCGGAGTTCCCTTTCCAAGAAAGTCAGGAATTAACCAGTCCTTATAGCGCTGAATGAAACCAACCAAATAGTCCTTGGCTGGGCGTCTTTCTAAAAAATACATTTTTGAACAGGCATTATCCAGTTGTTTCTGATAGAACATATAATACATTGTTAAGTGAGCAAGAATACAATTTGCTTCTTCAAAATATCTGGTGCTGAACCAAAGCTATCTGCAATATGCAGGTATTTAGAAAAAATAACAGAGGCACCCGTACACATTAAAAATGCACGAATAGGACGGGTTGGACTTTCCAACTACCACTCAATATAGTGCATCGTTATCTTCAGGCGTGAAATGCTTAACATCAGATATTCAGGTTAGAACCATCTTTCTGGACACGAAGAGCCAAACCTAACTACCTAGAGGCAGTTTCGCCTGATGTTAGGGTTGAAGACAAAATTAAACCAGGTTTTTTCCAATTCTCAAACTCGTTTCTGAATCTGTATTGTCTGGCATAGCATTTTAAAGCATAAATAAAGGTGTTGTAGAGCACAGTTTATTTTACTTGATAAAAACAGGTTTCAACATGCATCAGAACGCAAGTATTCAAGCGTTTTAATTTTTTGGTAGTTACTCTAAATTTGAAATTAGGTTTGCTAAAATCAGTGTGTATAATTAAGAAGAAAGGACAAAATTTAGGGCAAGGATCTCCTCCGGATCTGATCGGTGATTTATGCTAAATATTTCCTTAGAATAAGTACATAAACGATGTTTGCATTTAACAAAGTTTATGAGCAGTCCTCGGCAATTAGGCTAAGGAGTAGGCATACTAATTTTTAAGCTTGACAAAGAATCGCCCAAAAAATATTTGGCTCTAGACAGTCAAAGAACACTGTACCTTTTAATTTGGTGAATTTTTGCATT